CCAATCTGCCATCGCAATCCTGCGATACGCGGCGGGTGCGGCGTGCGCGACGCCGTCTCTAGGGAGAAGTTCCCAGACCCGTCACTGTGTACCATTAGTGCAACCAAAGAGGAAGGTAGAAGGATAGTCAGTGTTTGCGGCGCAATTTTCAGGAAGCTGGGGACACTGACTTCCACTGCATAAAGCACTGAGTTATACACTTGATCCCGCAAATTAATGATCAGGTCAAACAATCCAAAGAGCCTCCTAAGGAATTCGTGTTGTGTTCAGAACTTCCGCCAAAGAGCGCTTAGAAGCCCCCACTGATAGGCGGGCGTACCCCAAATCGCCATGGATCAACGCCAAACACTTTCTTCACGAAACATTCGCGGACCGAATTGCCATCCATAAAATATAATCATTGAAAGGTAAGATTGAAAAAGAGACTTGTTACTATACCTTGTGCTTTCTACACATTGAAGCAAGTTCGGATCGAACGTGGGCGACATTGGATTGGGCGTTTCGCAGTACACATACCGCCGTCACTGGTTGACCCCGTCCAACTGACACCACCTGAAGTCGATTTTGTTCGTGAAAGGGGCAATGCAAATTGTACAGGAAATGCAATTTCTGATCCCAAAAAGAGTCAGAAGAGCGAACCTGAACTCCTTTAATCAAATCGTTCTGATTCAGTAGCCTTTCGATATTCCAGTGTTCGACCAGGCCGTTATTATTGTCGTAGATAAGGTCATCTTTGTTGGTGACAATTTCGATACTTCCTTGATCGTCCACACGTGCCACATCTCTGAAATGTAGAAGAATGTAGGAAATATGAATAGTAACATCATGCGAATCTGGATTTGGTCTTTCGTAATCGTAGAGCCACCGGTCCGGTCTACTCAACAAAAATTGTTTGACCTATATAATGCAAGATTTATATTTTCTATGTTGCCCAATTATTTTTGGAACTGTCATTTCTCTCAGACCAAAATATTGTTTTTTCTCTTAATGAATCCACTGTACATGATGTTAGGTGGGTAGAGCTATGTAGTTACCAACATGATCAGGTATATTATAAAAAGACCTTGTACGTCACAAAAATAATACCAGGAAGCTTTGTTTGGTTATCAAAAACTAAAATGGTCACCAAGACTATACTCTGAGGTGATTAAGACTGAGGCGTTTCCATAGATTAGTAAAAGATGCGCGTGCTTTGCAATTAGGATAAGATGAGGGGCTTTTGAAAACTAGCAATAGAATAGAATTTGTATTGAATGTTCAGACTGAAAAGAGCGCAGGAAGTCTCTGTCGGTAGTTACTGGTTACTGAACTAAAGGCAGATATAATGGAGTGAAGACCCAGTTCACGACAATCTCGAGATACCTAATTCAAGAGCGAAGAAATGGAAGTTATGGTGCAGAATAGTACAAAGGTGGCGATGATAGAGTGAAAATCGGCAGATTTTAGAAAAGGGCTCCAAAACAAAAGGAAACAATAGTAAAGAAAGGAAATGTATGAGATTATGGCGACAGGATTAGTATAGAAGGCGTATTTAGACGAGTCATCAGTTGTGCATCAGTGCATACAGCTGGCCACGGTTGACCAAAAATACCAAAAGTTGCTTTCCTTTGTCGCAATGGGTCACGACTAGTTGTTTGAACTTCCAACAAATGTGCTCCAAAGAGAATGGTGCAGCCTCAACAAGGCCGTCATAACACGGCCACACTGGGGTATGAACGTCGGCCAAGCCAGGTTTGAAGCCCAGATTACGCTCTGTCTAGATCTTTTTTCGACCCTAAAGTACCACATGTCCTGGACCACAGTGTCACCCTAGGAGGATACCACAGAATCTATCTTTATCGTGAAGGGTGCCTTGATGAAATAGAATCTCAATTTAGTTTGATAAATCCACTCTTCAGTATTTTTCAAAAACGTGCCATTGATTTCTTCCACAGGTTTCATAAGACTCACATGATATCATTACTAAACAATTCGATTAGTAGGTAACCTACCCAGTTTCTACCCATTTTTCCTTTCCACTCGTATCAGGAGCATATCCCATAAATGTGCTGCCGTAATAAACTCGAATTAATAGCAATCCCAGCTGTCCCGGCTTTACTTCACCGTCTCCATTGAGCGGTTTCAAGTGTGTCTGAAGTAGTGTATTTATCAGCTGGTATATTTTCAGAAAACACAATACAATGTAGCATATTTATGTCAATAAATATCCTACGTAAATAAGGGCATGGCATAAAAGGCACTGATTGTCAGTGAATCTTTTAAAAACTCTCAAAGTTCTACATTGTTCCAAACCTCATAGCCAGCTATTGCTCTGCCCACCATTCGTGTGAAATCAGTTGTTGCATCACCCATAATCGGTATGGATCCTGTTTCAGTGAGCATGTAACCTACCTGAATTTTCTCCATCAAAAAAAAACGAACAAAAATTAAAAAAAAGCAGAAACAATAGGAAAGAGTAGTAAAACATGATGTTCGTGTCTCCATCCTTCGTTGTCGAAAATGCTGGAAAAAACTCTTCATCAGACCTCATTCTAGTAAGAGTCAAGTTAGATGGCAGATAAGAATTGAAGAAATTCCAATAACATAATGCTCGTGATGACAGAATGAGGAATTTGGTCCGATGGAAGGTCTGAGACCTTCTTTGACTTCTCTGAATTGATTTCGAAATACTATTTATTACTCGTCAACGTACTGATCGGTAAGGCTCAGTTCAGTTTATTTACTGTGAACTTCAGCTTCGAAAGGTCACGTTAACTGCCATCATTTTTCAACCGCTTAAGTTTTACACTGACTGATGTGGATGACCGTCAGTACTGCACGCTTCCAGTACACTAGCCCTGTGATAGATAGCGCTCAGAGCAGGGGCGATCACTTTTTTGAATGCTCGGGAGATTAATCTTGGGAAAATTCACTGTTCCCAAAGTTTATAGTACGACCACATAACTTCACTCTCCATTCGATCTTTCAAAGTGAATACCTGGGTGATGCATGTACCTATGTTAAAGAATCAGCCCAACATATAGAAGCTGGTCAGGTTTCTGTGCAATAAGGGCCTTCCCTAAGGTATACTGAGCTATCCCTTTTTATTATTGATTTCCTTGATTGCTGCTAATCAGCAAGTTTTCTTCTAAGCCTACCAAGTTTATTCTTATGCAATTCAAAATCCGAATTGTTATTGACTATATAANATCTTTCCAAGTGAATACCTGGGTGATGCATGTACCTATGTTAAAGAATCAGCCCAACATATAGAAGCTGGTCAGGTTTCTGTGCAATAAGGGCCTTTTCTAAGGTATATTGAGCTATCCCTTTTATTACTGATTTCCTTGATTGCTGCTAATCAGCAAGTTTTCTTCTAAGCCTACCAAGTTTATTCTTATGCAATTCAAAATCCGAATTGTTATTGACTATATAAAGAAAAATAATTTTCAAGAGAAATAATGTAACGCTTGAAAAAAACATACCGCAATAATTTTCACATTATCGGCTTGCTTTTGAATACTTCGCAGTGCCTCTTTTGAGACACGGTCACCCAACAGAAGGATCTGCTCGATACTGTCCAGTTTAACCCTTTGGGTCTCGCTGATCTTGAGAAGTAACCGAAGAGCTGCACCATTCGTCAACAGTGTCGTACACCTGAACATTCAAATTGCACTTCGTTTCAGAGTTTGTTCGATAGCCACGTAGTTCATCTCTGACACAAAGTTGAAATAAGATGGATTGCGTGACTTTTTCCTATTGTAGCCTCTTAATCAATTTTCTTTGAAATTGGTCGGACTGACGTAAATCTTATCTGTAGACTAAATTTCTCGAGCAAGACTCTTTTAGAACTGTATTCTACATTTGCCATTTGAAAGGGTTAGATTTGGTCAAAAAAAAAAAGCTCGAAGGGATTCTTCTCACTGAATTGCTAGCAAAATTTCGGAAACCTCTCAGTGGCACCTTCAATGAAATCTTTATTTGTTCATTGGAATCAATTGGATAGAAGTTATAGATCAGATCAATGAACAATACGACAATGCGTAATACAATGAATTTTCATGTCTTGAGTCCTACCAGATATTATTGTAAACACGCGATAGTCATAGTCCGTGTGTGCAAACTAGTACTCAAGTTGTTTTGTATCAATAACTGTTTCATAATTTTGATCAAAGGCGGAGGTGGTGTAGGGACAAGTGGCGCACTATTGTGCACGTATGGTCACGCGTTCGAATCCCTTGGGCCAATCATCCCTTCCGGCCGATTAATTGATACCAGACTTTCATGAAAGGATAAAGCTTTGACTGCTACAACTGCTGCTATCTCGGAAGCGATTGATTAACGCCCCTTTTAATTTGACGCAGTTGGTCTAGTGGCAAGTCGCACTTCACACAAACACAACGTCACGAGTTCGAATACAGGATCGATAACCGCCTAGGCTGAGCAAGATTTTCTTCCCTTCGGGGTCGGTTACTTGGCACCAGACTTCTCTGGGAGGATAAAAGCACTAACATGTACATCTGCCGGCTACCACAAGTCATTGTATAGGCCGCATACACATTCAATACGTCCTACGATTCTGAATGGAAGTCGAATGCGCGGGCGCACCGCATGGCGCAGTTTCTGCCCTAAATAAATTCATACGTTATGCGTTGTTTACCAAGGCCTTACTTGCAGAGGATTCATGCGCACTCCCTACTCGAATGCTTTGTTGCTGTTCTCTTATTGCACATTGGTGCTTCCTCAGTTCCCATCTTAAATCATTTTGTTTGTCTATTAGTTTTACTGCAAAAACGATTTGAGGTTTTTCGGAACGTTGTTTTGATTGCTTTACAACCGCATGCAAATATTTAACGTACAATAATTAATAGTAATATGATACTCACCTGTATTTATTGACCGATGCGAAAAGGCTTTTCGGAAGCGGCTGTGGTGCTGGGAAGACCGTACGCGAATCGGTGAGGAACGGTGAAAGGCAAACCAAAGTGAAGATTGGCAGTCGAAACAATGGCAATGCACATGCTAGTGTTTGCTAAATGAGAAATGAACCATCAAGAGTTCTGAGACTCCACTGAAGGTAATACATTTCGAAAAACTTAAGGCTGAAGAACATTTCATATCACAGGGTAGGCAACTAATGTTAGGGCCTAGCGATTAGCGTCGAGTAGTGCTGCTATCACAAGCACATACCGTGTTGGACCGAAGACCAACTGTCCCCTTCCCTCTCCGGTCATAATTGCTAATCATGTTCTCAAGTCCCCGGCTTCTCTCAGAGAAAGCCATGAAGAATACTTCCCTACCAAGTGCCTTATCAAAAACCCTTCCATACCGCAATGCGGTTCTCCATTTGGTTGAGGTGACTGCCTGACCAGATAGGTCTTCCTATACAAGCGGCTAGTTCAAGGCTGTTGACAAGAGTGATTGTATTCAATAATAATAGTAATCTGAGTTGAAAGTAAGACAACAGTACGTCTTTTTTGATCCCGAATGATGTCACAACCGCCCGAGCTCCATTGAGCAGCTGGAAATGCGAAAGGGCGACAAGCTTTGGTTCAGATGTTGTACCCTAAAATAGTACACCAATTAACTAGAATTAGTGATTTATAAAAGAAAAAAGATCGAAATATGTACAGACCATGGTGAATTGGAGACATGCGAGTTTGTGGCTGCTCCAGTTTGCATAGTTTGGCAATTTCTCGATTCTTTCCTTTGACGATCGGCCGAATACTTCGGACAGTGTATAGCATCCACTGAAATTCCACTTGTTTCTACATTTTATAGACAACTTTGCTATAGCTTGGACCTCAGCGTCTGTCAGTGCTGGTGGAGCTGACGTGAGTGACTTGTTGGAATTTATATTTAGTTAAAAGTTCATCGGTCTGAGTTGCAATTAGTTAAGAGTTGGTCTCCGTCAAGCGTGATAGGCAGCACTCTAGAGTTCCGTAACCCTTTCAGACCTTTGATAACGAAGGATTGGTCGAAACGTCAGGCATTGTAAAGGTTACACCATTAAAAAACCTGGTCGGCACAGAAGCATTGTTTAATCACTTTCGTACAGTATCACAGTTTAGGTCTATAAGTAACTGTTGAGAATCAGAAGAAATTATGATTTCTCCACATAAGTTGACGGAAATCCACTACAAGAAGGGCAATACGATCTGTACTCCATTTCGTTTTCAGGTTTCGACCTAATCTATTTCGTATCGTTTGGCTGGGTTAAACGGTTTCGTTTTGTTGTTCCTGTTGATAGGTCCAAAGGTTGTTCGAAGGCTTTTAGGCTTTGAGGCGTTTGTGAGGCTCCTGGTCAATGACTAACGTGCAAAGTTCCACAGGTGTTGAGTGTGGCCGAAATTGTTGACAGTTCATCGCGATCAGCTGACACCTCTGTATTGTCGTCCTAATTGTTGACATTATTTATTGCAACTGGCTGTTGTTTTGCGAAATCCGTGAAGATCAAGAGTCACTTGTGTTTTCATCGATATCGATTGTTATTCCAAGAGTAGTAATATCACTTTAGAGTCAAGCTTGCCCTGCACTTCACGTCATTTGGGTGGCCAGACGGTTGAGTAGTGGCTAATAGGAGGAAATACTGTTTCGAAAGCTCGTGTCCTGTACGCTAGAGTGCGCCCTCGATCTCTCAGTGTTCCAAAATGAGAGTCAGAGTTGTTTATAGGGTCACCGTAATACATCAGGCATACAACTGATCCGTGTGGTGACGGATATGTCACATCTGCTACCCTGATCCTCACTAAGTATAGCCAGTACTTATGTAAGTTGAATAAGAAACGATCTTGTAGCACAGGAATCAAAGGAACACTGTGTGGCGCTGGATAGAGGTAGTCATTTATTCTACGTCGGAACCTAAAAAGCTTCCTTGATAAATCTTTGCGGCCATAAGCATAGCTCCCTACGATCCACCGACCAAAAGGTCATTTTCGTGAAAGTGCAAATTGCCCACGCGATATCCATGCGAACTTTGGGATATGTCGCGCCGTCAGGGTCCTGCCAAACCATTGCAGCAGGTAGTTTGCTCGGGAGGGCGATCGAGGCGGTGTGAGAGCGGTCGGAGTTTTGGGCCCTTTGAGCACGCTCCGGTGCCCCACATCCTTTTCCAAGCGGACTTTGTAAGCCGATGTCCACGTCTGACTCCTACTGGTTGTACAGCCTCCGTGGTACACTGGAGGAATATCCGTCCAACGCCGAGATTTTTTCAAGTTCTGGACATGCGGTTCACCTTGAACCTACGTTCGCCTACATGCCAGCGTTTCAGAATGACAAATACTGCAAATAACTGTGGCAACTAAGGGATAGACAGAAACGAGTGGTTTACATTCCTCAAGTCCACATGCCACTGTTCGACCATTTGCGAGTTGGATATCTTGTGTTTTTCAAAGCTTTGTAATCCGTCAGGTTGTCACTCCAGGAGGTATCATTATTTAGATAGAAGACGTGAGCAATAAGGAAAACAAAGAAATGCTAGACAAGCTGTTCAAGCCGATAACATCGTTCTACATTTCGATCGGACTGACCTGTGGCGATGATCCTCTTCAGCAAGAATGATATGAGTGAGGTTTGGCAAGATGACACTCTTCAGCTGACCTAAATAATCTAGTTTATTCTTCTTTTGCGATCATAAGTTCGAGTTTCACGCAACAAAAACTCAGCCCAGAGGCCTTGAGTACAGCAGTATGTAGGCGTCTTTCTTCCCATATTTTTCTTCAGGCACGTGTAGTTGTTTTTCAACAGAAGCATTAGTAAAGAAAATATCATTCCACTAAAGCTTCCTACAGCCACTTTAAGGGAGCGATCGATGTCGAAGTCAGGAATTCTCCAAAAATAGTCTCCAGAAATAATAAATAACCGAGGAACAGGCACCTTTACGACGTCGCCCCCTATTGGGCATTTTTGAAGATCTTTACCTTTAATCTCTCACAATTTCAGTCGGAGGTGTACGGCCAGTGTAGAAAAGAAATACCTTTATGGGACTTTGTCAGTTCCGGACAAATCTGCTTCAGAAGTGAATAAAGATAATCCTGAGTGTCGTTGGCCCGGAAGCAGATCACTGCCTTGAAATCACCCTGAAAATGACCACATAGGGTTTCGTACAAACCTCTAAAAAAACTTTTTTAATTTCTTGAAAAGATTCATAACTCTTTTTTAGGGTGTACAGGTCTACAGGGCAAGAAATGAGGACACACTAGTGATCCCTCATTTGACTGGTAACTACTTCTGGCGATCGCGGGACATTTTCTACTTCAAAATTTCTTATGACAAATCGGGGGTCCCAGTGGTGTACTGGGAAAGAGCCGACACCGACAAGCACGGCAAAAGCAGGTTCAGCTTCCAGGCTCGTCCTATGTTGAGGGCCTTGCCTAACTCTTCATTTGGGATGGCGCACAGGGTGAATTCGAGGAGTAAGTGGGGCAGAAAAAAGCTTACAAGCAAGAAATCATATCAGAAAAGGTAGTCAATTGTTCTTATCCCAAATGGGCAGAAAAATGCTGTAAAGGGGCAGCATACAAATGAAAAGGAGAACACCAATGGACTATACCAATGGGCTACCGTATGACTTTCGTCAGGGGCCCGCTAAACTTCCACTATGTCGAGGTTCTCCTTAAAAGGAATCTAGAAACTTTTCGACCTAAAGAAAACTCAACAGGCAACCTGAAATT